GTATAGAACTTATGCTTACCCTGGACAAAAGGGTCGGTCCGGAGCGACACAGGCTTGGTAATGTAAACTCTACGCATGTACCTAATTATCTATTCCTAGTATGTTAGGGGCGCGAGCCAGCTTGCTATGTGCCGTCATTGTATGCGAATACCAGTCATCATCACCATCGGCCCACATCCACCAGTACTGCGTCTTTCTGGTGTTTCGAGTGAGTTAGCTGCATCTTTGACCCAACTCAGCCATAAGCACCTAAACAAGCGTCACGGGGTAACCCTTCATTGATAGAAACGGGTTCATCTGGTCGTTCGTCGAGTAAGTGTCCCAGACGGTAGAAAAAGAATACCTTTGAGAATTGTATATGTATAATCGGGCTCTCGGAAACGGCTCCAACGATCATCACGAAACATCCTAAATAGAGGTTTTCGCGGTCAAAAACTCTAAAGATAGGTTTCAATTTCCAAAAATCGTTGATTTACCCCTTTTTGCGTATTTTTGTAAACTAACAACACCAACTGTTGAAAAACCGAGGAATGTCGGTCAACCAGGTACCAATATGTAATCAATATCGGCGGCAGAATGTATTCAAAAGTATCGAAAGACCTGCATATTTTGCTGTACCATCCAACGTTTTCCAAGCTCAACCTCAACGTCCAAATCACTTACCTACGCAGGTACCTATGTGCATTTACCCACTATTAGCTAGGAAACACCAAAACACGCTCATATCCATCTGCTGTTACACAGGGCGGCATGTTTAAGGTAACAGCACACTAAAGTCGACATAAATTATCAGTCTGCGTCCGTGTGTAACGGACGAGCGACCGATTATTTATCGCCTTTACGTGGGGTAGGCAGGGAGAGGACGTGGCGATAAGCGAAAAGCGAAGAATAGGTACATTTTTTTTTATTAAACTAGGATAATCTCATATTTTATGTATTGAACGACTGACCTTGTCGTTTTAAGTCGAGACTTATAGAACTCAGTTCCCAGCGGGCGCTACTACTGAGCGCGAGCGACCTGACGGACTTCCGAGGATGATGCACGTACTGCATCGAAACGTCGAGACTCTGTTAGCCTTAACTTAAAACAACAAAGTCAGTCGTTACATACATAAAATATACCTAAGGTAATATGTTTCTCTTGGTGATCTTACAGGTTGATCACGATTAAATCTTTGCAAGTTCCTCATTCGAGAACAGCACAGGCAGGACTTTATGTGTTAAGAAAGTTTTTCACACAGTTACTACACATCGCAATTTCTTGAAATTAACTTTATCAATATTTATTTCTACTAACTTCTCCGCAAATTTTATTTCTAGAACTTAAATAAAACTCTATACCAGCTTTCAACAAAATCGCATATATAAAATAAAGTCTTTTTTGTGTTTTTCCGTCAAAGATACCGCTAGCTCCGCCTTAACCACGCAACGGATTTTGATCCGATTTTTTGAAATAATGGAGTGAGTCAAGGGGAAGCTTCGCCACGCCGGGAAAACATATTATTCCTATGAGAAAATAAGTCGCAACGGGTACAACCACTGACGTGTAGTTTCTTATAAAACGCTACCCGCTCCGCTTATGAGCGCGCACTCGCCCGTAAGCAGCTTACATGACGTTAGCCGGAGAGCGCGGTAACGATGGTATTGATGTCCATTAATTATTTTACGCCACGCCATGCATGATAATGCATCAAGCCATGCATGCACAGTGAAAGTAGAGTATTGTAGAGCGAGGTGCATTTGAATATATAGAACATTCTGTTATGAAGATATATAAGAGATTCTTTTATCGCCGCATAATGCCAACCTAGAATAGCATCGGCCCATATTTTTCTGTGGGTGTCGTACAAAGCGACTAAGGGATTTGAGAGTTGATGTGTATTGCAATTTTAGGCTACAGGCTGACAACCTTTCACTATAGCGCGGTAACTATGGTATTGATGTTCATTAATTATTTTACGCCATGCCATGCATGATAATGCATCAAGCCATGCATGCACAGTGAAAGTAGAGTATTGTAGAGCGAGGTGCGTTTGGATATATAGAACATTCTGTAATGAAGATATATAAGAGGTTCTTTTATCGCCGCATAATGCAAACCTAGAATAGCTTCATTCAACCCATATCTTTTCCGTGGGTGTCGTATCAAGCGACTAAGAGATTTGAGAGTTGATGTGTATTGCAATTTTAGGCGACAGGCTGACAACCTTTCGCTATAGCGCGGTAACGACGGTATTGATGTCCATTAATTATTTTACGCCACGCCATGCCTGATAATGCATCAAGCCATGCATGCACAGTGAAAGTAGAGTATTGTAGAGCGAGGTGCATTTGAATATATAGAACATTCCGTAATGAAGATATATTTAAGAGGTTCTTTTATCGCTGCATAATGCTAACCTAGAATAGCATCGACCCATATATTTCCCGTAGGTGCCGTAAAAAGCGACTAAGGGATTTGAGAGTTGACGTGTATTGCAATTTTAGGCGACAGGCTGACAACCTTTCACTATAGCGCGGTAACGATGGAATTGATGTCTATTAATTATTTTACGCCATCCCATGCATGATAATGCATCAAGCCATGCATGCACAGTGAAAGTAGAGCATTGTAGAGCGAGGTGCATTTGAATATATAGAACATTCTGTAATGAAGATATATAAGAGGTTCTTTTATCGCCGCATAATGCCAACCTAGAGAAGCATCGACCCATATCTTTCCCGTGGGTGTCGTAAAAAGCGACTAAGGGATTTGAGAATTGATGTGTATTGCAAATTTAGGCGACATGCTGACAACCTTTCGCTATAGTGCGGTAACTATGGTATTGATGTCCATTAATTATTTTACGCCACGCCATGCATGATAATGCATCAAGCCATGCTTGCACAGTGAAAGTAGACTATTGTACAGCGAGGTGCATTTGAATATATAGAACATTCTGTAATGAAGGTATAGTTTAGAGGGTTTTTTTTCGCCGCATAATGCCAACCTAGAATAGCATCGACCCATATCTTTCCCGTGGGTGTCGTACAAAGCGACTATTGAGGGTTGATGCGTATTGCAATTTTAGGCGACAGGCTGACAACCTTTCACTAGAGCGCGGTAGCGATGGTATTGATGTCCATTAATTATTTTACGCCATGCCATGCATGATAGTGCATCAAGCCACGCATGCACAGTGAAAGTAGAGTATTGTAGAGCGAGGTGCATTTCAATATATAGAACATTCTGTAATGAAGATATATAAGAGGTTCTTTTATCGCCGCATAATGCAAACCTAGAATAGCATCGACCCATATCTTTCCCGTGGGTGTCGTTCAAAGCGACTAAGGGATTTGAGAGTTGATGTGTATTGCAATTTTAGGCGACAGGCTGACAACCTTTCACTAGAGCGTGGTAACTATGGAATTGATGTCCATTAATTATTTTACGCCACGCCATGCATGATAATGCATCAAGCCACGCATGCACAGTGAAAGTAGAGTATTGTAGAGCGAGGTGCATTTCAATATATAGAACATTCTGTAATGAAGATAAAATATTCTTTTATCGCCGCATAATGCCTACCTAGAATAGCATCGACCCATATCTTTCCCGTGGGTGTCGTAAAATGCGACTAAGGGATTTGAGAGTTGATGCGTATTGCAATTTTAGGCGACAGGCTGACAACCTTTCGCTATAGTGCGGTAACGATGGTATTGATGTCCATTAATTATTTTACGCCACGCCATGCATGATAATGCATCAAGCTATGCATGCACAGTGAAATTTGAGTATTGTAGAGCGAGGTGCATTTGAATTTATAGAACACTAGCTGGTGCCCGCGAACTTCGTCTCGCCAAGGGATGTTTATGCGCCAACAGAAGATAGACACCGGCCAAGAGCGTGACAGACATGAACACAACGTAGTCAACGTTTAATTTATACCAAGTTTTTCAGCGTTACCAAGTTAATTTTGTTGCTGGTTTGCTTGCAGCGGTATGGTTATGGTTACCAACGGAAAATTGAAAATAAAAAATATCTTAAAACTTTAGTGGTACAGTATCCGTTATAGTTTTCATGGTAACTTCAGATTAAGATCTATATTCCATATAACTGGTGCCCGCGAACTTCGTTTCGTTTCGTTCCTTATACCTTGAAAATTCTAATTTCTACACCAGCGTCCTAAAAATTGTATCCATCACGCTAATTATGTATTAATTGTTGAAACCAGTTGCATTGCCAGCAGATGCCAACAGAAGCGTTCCGTCAAGCTGAAAATCTTTTGCTTTGAAGCCATTTCAATATCTCCTATAGTTTAACTGAGCTTTTAGTGGTATTTCTTGTGGTCTAAATCAGATACTCCAAACCTTTGATGTCTTTTCGCCAGCAGAAGCGTCCCATCAAGCCAAACAACTTTTGCTTTGGAGTCACTTCTGAATCTCCTAAAGTTTACCTGTACTCCGGTTGGTGCACCTGGTGGTTTAATCTTGGTCAAGTACTCCAAACCATCGATGTCTTTTTGCCAGCTAAAGCGTCCCATCAAGCTGAACAACTTTTGCTTTGTAGTCATGTCTATATCTCCTATAGTTTACCTGTGCTGATGGTGCACCTGGTGGTCTACAACAGGTACTCCAAACCCTCGATGTCTGTCCGCCAGCAGAAGCGTCTCATTAAGCTGAACAACTTTTGCTTTGGAGTCATATCCTGTATTTTCTATACTTTAGCTGGGCTCCTGATGGTGCACCTGGTGGTCTACATCAGTTACTCCAAACCTTCGATGTCTATTCTGCAGGAGAAGCGTCCTATCAAGCTGAACAACTTTTGCTTTGGAGTCATATATGTATCTCTTATAGTTTACCTGGGCTCCTGTTCGTGCACCTGGTGGTCTACATCAGGTGCTCCAAACCTTCGATGTCTATTTGCCAACAGAAGCGTCCCATCAAGCTGAACAACTTTTGTTTTGGAGTCATATCTGTATCTCCTTTACAAGTGAAAATAAGAAATAGATAAAATGACATGCATCGACCGGGGATCGAACCCGGGCCGCATGGGTAAACGCCCCACCGCTCTGCCACTGAGCTATCGAAGCACGGCCGATGAACGCCAAATTATCTATCTCTTGATGCTCGTCTCCAAGCGACGATCCAGCGACATCTGTAGAAAGTATTTAGAACTTACTTCGATCCCCGGTCGATGCATGTCATTTTATCTATTTCTTAGTTTTCACTTGTGAGAATAATATAGCACTGTGAGTGCATTACAATCCCAATAGATTGTATCTCCTTAAGTTTACCTGTGCTGTTGTTGGTGCACCTGGTGGTCTACATCCGGTACTCCAAACATTCGATGCCTATTCGCCAGCAGAAGCGTCCTACCAGGCTGAACAACTTGTGCTTTGGAGTCATATCTCTATCTCCTATAGTTAAGCCGGGCTCCTAATGGTGCTTCTGGTGGTCTACCAGATGTACTCCAGACCCTCGAGTGGTAAAATGTATCCTAGATGTTGACCCGACTAATAAGGTATTACGATACAAAATTTGGTAAAAATCCGTCCAGTAGTTTTTCCGTGAAAGATGGACAAACAAACAGACAAACAGACAGACAAACAGACAGACAAACAGACAGACAAACAGACAAAAATTTTTTTAGCTATCGTTCTGAGATCTGTATCCTGAGCACAATTGGAAGTAAAAATCCTTTTTTTAAACTATCCCATGTACAGAATTGGTTTCGTTTCTGTTTTATTATATGTATAGATTCTGTTATGAAGATATATAAGAGGTTTGTTTATCGCCGCATAATGCCAACCTAGAATAGCATCGACCCATATCTTTCCCGTGGGTGTCGTAAAAAGCAACTAAAGGATTTGAGAGTTGATGTGTGTTGCAATTTTAGGCGACAGGTTGACAACCTTTCACTATAGCGCGGTAACGATGGTATTGATGTCCATTAATTATTTTACGCCACGCCATGCATGATAATGCATCAAGCCATGCATGCACAGTGAAAGTAGAGTATTGTAGAGCGAGGTGCATTTGAATATATAGAACATTCTGTAATGAAGGTATAGTATAGAAGGCTTTTTTTCGTCTTGTTGTGCCAGACTTAGGAATCACAGCAACTTGAATGGATGACCCGTTTCTCTTACGGTGGAAAGCAACACCTTTATACCGGGAGTGACAAAAAAGGGCATCTATAACATGTCGAAAGGAGGTCAAGGTACGCATTAAGTTGTTTAGTTTCTAAACAACTTTCCCTATGGAACATGGGTAGAAATATAAAACAGAATTTCGACCTCCCATACAAAATAGCCCATCAGCTGATTGATTTAGTATGGGAGGTCCACATTTTTTTACAGAATTGTAGTTGGCGTTTTTTTATTGTGTGTTCTCGACTTAGAATAGCTTCACCCCATTTCGTCAATAAAAGCGACTAAGTGATGAATCCAGGAAACGGGAAGAGTTCCCTGTAACCTGTAACTACAACACCTTGGATTGCGTTGTCAATTATCCCCCCCCGCGGAAAACACGCGAGCGGCTAGCTTAGGTGATACTGACTTTTCTTCTCCATCTGCCAACTTAAGTTACTCAATACTCAAGGTATTGTGAAATACTCCGCATTGCCAGTTAAATTGCTCAAGTTGGATGGTTCTGTTAACCCGCAGGTTAAATAGCCTGAATAGGCTTCCTGGACAGAAGAACGCCATAGTTGACCTATTGGCTTGTTATGCAGCTTTTAGGTATTTATTTGGAATAGCTGAGGTGTAATTACGTATCTATCTATGGACATCACAATGAACAATGGCAGTCAGACGATTGTTGCTATACAGGATTACAGGTTATATGTCACCACCCTGCAGCTCATGAAATAAAGAACGTGAATAATATAAAAAATGCTACAACATCCAGAACTTTTATTTTCTCAGAGAAAGCCGTAGTCTTGCCTCAACGCGAAAGTAAACGAAATGGTTAAGCTACCAAGAAAGCAACTAAACTATAAGACGCAACGAATATTCGTGTCACTTTATGCCACATAGTTACTTATTTAACCATTTATTGTACACAAAAACAAATACAGGACAAGTACAAAAATAAAAATGACACAACAGGCACTACTTATTTCTAATAAGAAATTTCTTACAGCAGGCCTACAGAAGTGAGATAGCATTAACGATACGCGGATAAGACGTGCACAATATTACTAATTACTTAAATATAACCTAATAATACAAAAGAGAGCAAGACATAAATATACTAAATAAATACTTATATCTATTATTATAAAATACTTAAAACATGTATAATATATAATATATATTATAAATAATATATGTATATATATATATATATATATAAATAATATGGATTACTTAACAAGAGAAAGGTAGTGTTCTTTCACTCGCTTTTTAAAGATAGTGATAGAGGAACTTTCCCGAACAGTGTACGGGAGAGAATTCCATAGTCTGACCGCATGAATCCTGAACGAGTAGGAAAAAAAGTCAGTCTTATGAGGAGTCATAGAGAGAAGAGTCCTAACGTTAGGACGACATGGTTTATCTTGTGGTCGTGAGAACACGAAATGCTCACGAAGATAAGAGGGAGAGTTGGGGTTGTTTAGTACATTGTAGAGAGTAGAAAGAATATGAGTGTTCCTGCGAAGTCGAATTGGGAGCCACTTGAGCTGTGACCGAAATTGAGATACATGATCGTATTTGCGCAATCCAAAGATAAATCGAATGCACAGGTTTTGAAGTCGCTCAAGTTTATTCAATAGCTCCTCAGTGACGTCCAAGTAACAAGAGTCGGCGTAATCGAGAATAGGTAACAGAAGAGACTGGGCTAAAGTGATTTTCGTGCTTAGGGGTAAAAAATATTGAAAACGCTTGAGGGAATGAAATGAGTAGTGCATTTTCTTACTAACCTCATTGACATGAGGAGCCCAGGATAGGCTAGAATCAATGATAACTCCAAGGTTTTTAGCACTTTTCGTAAAGCTGATGGGAATACCATTGTAAATTACAGGAGAGATAGCACTGTAATCTATCTGTTTGTTCATGTAGGAACTACCAATGATCATTGCCTTTGATTTGCTAGGATTAACCAGCAGCCCGTAAGATTCAGCCCAAACAGATAGGTTTTTAAGGTCTTCGTTAATCATATCGATAGCACTATCAATATCGGCAACATTAATATGACGGTAAAGCTGTAGGTCGTCTGCATAAAGATGGAAGTTGGAAGAAATAACAGATGTAACTGTGTTGATAAAGATAGAGAAAAGAAGAGGGGATAGGACGCCACCCTGCGGTACACCAGCAGACAGATCACACCAATCCGAGGAAGCCTCATCAGAGCGGATCCGCTGCGAGCGCCCGCGAAGGTAAGAGTCGAACCACATGATTGCTGAGGTAGACATATTAAGAGAGCGAAGAATTGCAAGGAGTACATCGAAGTCTACAGAGTTGAAGGCACTGCTGAAGTCGAGCAATATTAGGATGGTAACTAGTTTATTTTCCATAGCGAAACGTATATCGTCTGTGACTTTCAGCAGCGCAGTAACCGTGCTATGGCCAGGGCGAAAGCCTGATTGAAAAGGAGAGAGTAGACTGTTAGACGTAATGAAATCAGCTAGTTGTTGGTGGACAATGTGTTCAAGGACTTTAGAAAGGAAGGGAAGGATGGAGATTGGACGGAAGTCAGACAAAGCTGAAGGATTGGACGTCTTAGGAAGAGGAATGACATCAGCTTGTTTCCAAGCTGACGGGAAGGAGCTCGTTACCAAGGAGTGATTGAAAATGTGAGTGAGAATGGGTAAGAGCTCAGGGAGAATGAGAGTGATCATTCGGGAACATAGGTTGTCATTGCCCACCGCTGATGAAGTTATAGAGAGAATGTGCTTCTTAACATCACTCTCAGCAATCGGGGTGAAGCAGAAAGAAGAGCACGTTGGTAAGACTTGGCTGTTTATAGAGGAGATTGTGTGAGCTTTAACACCAACGTTCAGAGTCACAGGTGGAGAAGAGAAATGGGTGTTAAGTACATTAAAGTCTATTGGACTATTAGGTGGTGGTGACATTTTCCCAATACCTAAAGTTTTGAGAAACTGCCAGACCTGTGTCGGGTTACAATTTTCAATAGAGGAATGGATGTGGCGCCTTTTGGCATCTCTACACAGACGACTACAGTGGTTTCTTAAAAGTTTATAACGGTTCAAATTATGGTCAGATGGACACTTTCTATATTTGAGTTTAGCCTTGTCACGTTTAGCCATGAAGAGCTTAATTTCTTCAGTGAGCCAAGGAGCAGGAGAGTGTTTCACTTTTACCCTTTTCATTGGAGCGTGTTTGTCATATAGTGTAAGCAGTGCACATTGTAAGGATTGAACCTTTAAGTCGATGTCCTCAGCAGACACAACTGGAGTCCAGTCTATACTACTCGCATCCGCCCTCAAGGTCTCCAAATTAATACCCCTAAAACTACGACGAAGAAGAAATTTAGGTTTTCGCCTGGGAGGTCGGATTTTATATGAGAGATAAATTAGATCGTGATGAGAGAAGTTTGCGGGGAATTGGCCATGAATAGCTACTTTGTCTGGTGAAGAAGTAATCATAAGGTCCAGAAGGGACGGAACACAATTAGGTTGAAAATGAGTAGCAGAAAGCGGAAGTATATGAAGGTTAACAGAGGACAGAAGAGATTGAAGCTTATGTGTGCGAGCATCATTTTTGATCAGACAGGTGTTGAAGTCTCCCAGAAGAAGAACTTCATCATAGTTAGGGCAGTGAGCACACAAAAGACCCTCAAGAGAATCAAAGTAGTCAATCTGAAGAGATGGACTGTAGACTAAGGCAAGCAAGATCTTTTTGTGGTGCAGTTACGTTAAAGTATAAAGTTTTGATAACGGTGATATTAGAAATCCTTTGCTACTGCTTCCTCTCCTCTGAGATTTAATATACAGAAAATCTAATCACATACGATTACAAAATGCTCTAGGTACTCAAGATAAAGGCATATTATCAGAAGCACGTGGATTCTCCCTTTTAACGGGTACAGCTCACACTTGTTTCCCATACAGTTAGTTAGGTTAACCAGT